AATTAGTTCTATTTATATTTTGATATCACCGTGAATTTTATATATTCCATAAGTACATTAATGAGGCTGTGTCGGGGGTCGGACGGGGAGGTGTGCTGTGTTGAACAAGAGGGTAGGAGAGGTAGTTTACTTAAAGCAGTTTGGCATATTCAATCGAAGTTAACTAATGTGGCTATTCATTTTTAGATGATTTTTGTGTGTTTATCGGAAAACTATTATTACTTGAATACTTAAACTAAAATAGCAGGCACAAATGAAGTGTGTAGGCCTATACACTGCGGATGAAAATTGTCAGTAGCCAAATGGACGTAAATCTCTGTTAAAACCAACGCACTGAGACAAACACATCATTTACACTCCGAGAAGAATTGCTCCGTGCCAGTGCTCACGATACTGGTGTCATTGAACATTGTAAATTGACATGTGGAGACATTCTTTACACAAATTTGTCTTTTGATTTTACATTCCAAATATCTTCCTATATAGAGGTAAAAATGCGGTGGATGACGAATTTCTAGATGAATAAAAGTTAGGGCACCCTCTGATATCATGACCTCATTAAAATAGTATACAAAATCACACTGCTTTTCAACATTTTTGTAACAGACTACTGGCGCATCCTGTGGTCAGAGAGAATATAAGGATTTGGTAACACTAAGGAGAAACAACAAATTTTCTGAATGTTGAAGATTTCATAGCTCCAAGAGTTTATCAGCAACAATTGATTGCAAAGCATTTTTCTCGTTAACATTCACCTTCAGGCAACGTAATAACGTCAGTCACCGTGATTGAAAATGAACAATACAGAATAGTGGCTAATGAGAACACATTTGAACTTGTCTCAACCCGTCCCAAGGGGGCCACCACAGGATGTGGGGTTGGAGGGTCAACAATATCATCCAAAATCAGGGGCATCCCGGATACCAGAGAGTTAATGAAGTCATTCAAGAAACTTGTTACATTTACATTACTGACAGTGAAAACTGACGTTTCCAAGAAAAATTGACTCGAATTAAGAACTAGTTTCAAATCTACATGTACACCTGCAGTAAAATGAACTTGCTGAAATTACCGGGTTGGAGGGTCAACAATATCATCCAAAATCAGGGGCATCCCGGATACCAGAGAGCTAATGAAGTGATTCAAGAAACTTGTTTAATCCTAACATGCATTAGAAGAAATTTATATTACTGACAGTGAAACTGAAGTTTCCAAGAAAAGTTCACTTGAATTAAGATATAATTTCAACCCCACATGTACACCTGCAGTAAAATGAACTTGCTGAAATTACCGGGTTGGAGGGTCAACAGTATCATCCAAAATCAGGGGCATCCCGGATACCAGAGAGCTAATGAAGTTATTCAAGAAACTTGTTTAATCCAAGCATGCATTTAAAGAAATTTATATTACTGACAATTGAAGTTTCCAAGAAAAATTTGCTCGAATTAAGATACAGTTTCAAACCTACATGTACATTGTACACCTGCAGTAAAATTAGCTTGCTGAAATTACCGCCACTGTGCACTGACACGGTTTTTGAAATCAACCTACGCCAAAATTGACATGTAAAATCGATAACATATTCACTTATTTTTCCAATAAAGACTTTTTATAGAAGAACATAAGAGTCAAAGTCCCCCGTAATAGTCCGGCCTCTACCTGTACAGTGTGTGTACAAAGAATTGTAATAGTCCGGCCTCTACCTGTACAGTGTGTGTACAAAGAATTAACTTCTTCGTGACATTAGCTTGGTTCTGTTTGAGTAGTGAATAATTCAATGCACACCAAGAAATCAATGGCGCACTATGTTCAGCAGATTTAACGGCGCGTCATTTGGATCATCCCTGCCACACCTCAGAGGGTAATTTCGAGGAATATGTGGTCACTTTTGGCGGGTAATATTAATGGGCCTCTCTGGGTGCGCCGAGAGTAATTTAATTGGTTCATGAGTAATTAAAAACGAATGGAGAGGCCAGCGAGGATGTGAGCCGTCTGGTCGATATCAATATTCAGTTACTTATCGACCAGAAACACTCAGGATCTGTTTTCATAATCATTGCTTAATAGAGATAACACAAATATTGTTTTGAAAAAAAGGCTTATATTGCGCAGTACTATAAATTCCACATTAACGGGGTTTATCGCGTCTTTCACAGGTGGAAAACTAACACTAAAACTCAATTCTCTTGGGTATATTAATGAAGACGATGACTTTGAAGTGTTATAGAATCATGCCAAAGCATGCACTCTGTGATTAAGTAGGTATTTGTTTTTTTTTTTTAAGAACAAACGGTCGTTATTGGGGTGAAGAAGTGGAAAGGGTCAAATTATGAGATTCCCTTGCGTTATGGACATTATTTCCCATTTTGAAGTTATGGTCTATACCAATAAAGTATCGACCAAAGATACAATCGCTTCTTGTATATCTACATTCCGTTAATACACCCACTTACATTCCTTGCACTTTCACTTCACATGGAAATTAAACATTTGTGCTGGGGGTGTTAGTTTCTTTGCGCATTTAAAATGCTAGCGTGGTTCTAAATCATAGTTATAAGGTCTTACTATTTTGATTTTAAGATAAATTTAGACAGCAGATATTCGTTCCAAGTTTTCTCCTAAACGGTTCACTAACTGGGTTGGGACCCTTTTAGTGCATTCTGCCAGGGGCCTTTTTGGGTGTTACAAAATTTGCCAAAGGACCTTCGAACGATTTGGTAACATCTTGACTGATAGAGAGTGCCTTTTTAATAAGTTATAGACCAGATATTAGCGCCATAACATGACATAAAATGAGTACTGTCGACCGACTTATGAGCTGAGAGTATGCCTACTGGCAGTGCTGTCTAATTTCTTGTTTTTTAAGAAGCGCGTTTCCAATTTCAAGGTTGCACAGCGGGGAAGCAGGCTTTGGATCTCTTGTTAACGCTATCTCGTTGATGCAAATGTTTATTGGTGTAAGGTGCAAAAGTGACGCAGCTCGAGTATCGCAAATACAAAATAAAAACTAGCAATACCTCACTACAATTAACAAGACTCTAGAGTAGACTTCCCCTCAGCAGGGGCCATCCCACGCCAGGATAAGGATTCGATACGTTCTTTTTGCTACACCCTAAGTAAATTCATATCACTGATTTTTTTCAGATGATTTTATCTTAAAGTCCTGTTGACAGATAGGCGATAAGACTGAGTTTTGCCTCTCTTCACTTTGCTGTCGGGGAAAGATGCTGATCCACTTAATTTGGTTTGGATTCTTTTGATTTTTTTGATAAAGGATATGGGTTAAGGTGTTCCCTGCCCGACCTTTCGGTAGTCGTTTTTATGTAGTATTGTGGTCAGACGCTGTCGATCGATATTTAAGATGTGTCCGTCCGACGGAACTTGTAGAGCATTGCAGTAGTTGAGAACAGGCGGTCACATCACATCCAATTTAGAGCAAGATATCTGGTTCTCTCAACCTTAGCAATCCCTGACATTTGCAACACTTTCAGTAATTTTTTAAAACATACCAAAAGAGACACCTGTTGATGAGGTATACTTCTGCAGCTGTTTGACCTTCTCTGTGATGGAAAAAAAATGCCCGAAGCTTACAGATGTTCGATGTCTAAAAAAACCGGTATGCGTACCATTTCAACTGCACTCCACCTTTGCTTTTACAATGATGAGAACTATGGCGGTCTGTGAAGAGAAATGCGAGATGAGATTTCCGTTTTCATTAAAAATATCTTTTTATGCACTTTACTAAAAAAAGGTTACAGATATAAGTTCAAAATTGGATGGCGAAAAGCTCAGCTTTGATTCTCGGCACCTTCAAGATGACAAAAATTATAAATAAATAATTAATTAATTAATTAATTAAATAAATAAATAAATAAAATAGAAAAAATATAAAATAAAAAGTAAACAAAACAAATAAAGAAAGAAATTCAACCCAACGTGCTGGCAATGACCGAAAAAAAAAAGATGCATTTATTAATTTTCATATCTTTCGCAGGAGCACCACTATCCTATGTTGATAACGCACCGACTGTATGTCCCTTTACATATTCAGTCTCTGCCTCCGATTAGTTACCATGCTTTTCTAGAGTAAAGCAGCGCTAATGAACACTCAAACCTTGCAGTATTCCGTGATGCTATGGACAGGGCAGTATTACACGCAATGTGAGATTTGAAATGCCCCAGTTTGGCCTGACAAAAACTTTAAGAATACAACTTTTAATTTCGGATATTGCCAAATAAGCCCAACAAACATTCACACACTAGGATATCAGAATAATAAAAAAAAAGGTAAATGAAAAACAAGCTAAAGTTGTAAATCTTGTTGCACTGAGATTCAATCGCAACTGGCACAATCACATTCCTCCAGGAAGTTGATTGCGGTAGGTGTGATGTGCAGTCGTGTCATTCATCTTCAAACAAATAGATTTAATTATGATTTCCTTCTTAGAAAGATAACTAGATGTCCTTACAATTCGACTGCATTTTTTTTCAGGATTGACGTAAGTTTAAATCCTGTTTTTCATTCGAGTGTTTATGGAAGGTACCGGCTAATTAACCCCCTCCTCTAATAAATATAAAAGGAAAATTCCCATATGTAAATCACTCATAACGGCAATCTGAAGTGGGTCTATCTACCCATAATGCCCTTTGTGTCTGACGATCGCCCATATTAATCCCAACACCAAAAGGTGTTAAAGGTGTGAAATAATTATCCAAGGAGAGGATATAATATGTACCTGTGCTTGTTATACTCATAACTTGTCATTTTTCATTTAAACCAATCCTCCGCCGTGAAAAGCACATAACTGGAATGGTTATCGTTTTTCTAATTTTGAATAAATTTTAGGTTTAATGATTGAAATCTTTACTTTAAAAATAAAACTGCAGCATATTATTTTTCAGAGTGTACTCTAGTGAACAGCGCGATTTTTAATTCCTGTATTTAGTGCGAAATAAAAAAAACACTTACAAATTAAAATGTTCGTTTTAAATCTGTATTCTTTAAAAGTATCATTTTGCAATCATGGGATATTACACTCGTTTTAAGTATCAAAATTTAAACAATGCACCAATTGTCAAATATTAAATTATGTCCGCTGTTAAAATGTAAGGACGCAATTTGAAAGTGAAAATAGTCTTAAGTATGTTAATTCAAGTACATTTGTGTTTAAACAAGACAGAAGAGTCAATTAGCGCTAGGGAATTCGCCATAATGCCAAGAAATGAGTAATATTCCCTTCTTTCAATCCATTAAATAAAGTCGTTGTGCGTTGATAAGACTAACAGTGTATTTAGAATAAGGCACAGACTACGATAAAAATAAGGTACAAATAATACACGAACTAAAAGAAAACTATTTCAAATTAAAGGATTGCTGGGTACACAAGAAATGTCAACTCATTTACATGGTAAAATGGTAAATTTCAAGAAAATTTGCCCGGATTCTTTAAATCTGTGCACTTGAATATTAAATAAACGTGACAAAATTGAAACAAAACATTTGCTTTAACTTCTTTCGCTTTTCTATACAGTTACAATTATTTCCAATATATATTCCTTGCAAATAAATTAAAAGAGACGCAAATTTTAAAATATTACTTCAAAAAACAGTAAAAGTTATTATCAGTCGTGAAAACAAAAATATCGGAGGTACATGTTTACAAACATTACTAACAATTGTGATGAATAACTTTAAATGTATCGAATACTGATGACAAAAGTTGTTAAATCAATGAATAAACAAATATAAATAAGCCATAAAAGCTATACCGCTTGGACCGATATTAATTTTACCTATTTCGTTTTCATAAATTGCTTTGTATCGCTTAAAAATGAGGAAATCATGGATAAAGCAATCATGGCTAGTTACGTTTCCCCTGATTCTCCGACACATTTCACTTTCGTTATTGTGTTAACATACAAACTAAATGTGAGTGCTTCTATATCAATTTTGGTATATACCAGTATCTGACAAAAGTCGACTGAAATTCGAAGGTCATAACCAAGACACTATATCAGTTTTTTTCCTCAATGGGCTGTGTTCATACTCTCAGGTAAATAAGAAACCGTCTCTTTCATTCCTTAAACATCTGAACTATGACACGGTCCGCTTTTCACTTCCAGACGTAATAGCTGATTGGTCATCATTTAGGCGTTTTGAATTATCCACGTTCTGTTTCGTTTCGCGTCTCCCAAGGCCAGAGAACAACATTTGGTTTGAAAGGCGCCTTTTCCCTAATCCAGAAAACAGCATCGAAGAATCCATACGACGTTTTCCAAGGCCAGAAAATAACATGCTAGAATCTAACCGCCTCTTCCCCAGTCCTGTGAGCAATAGCTTGGAATAGCCTCTTTTGCCTAATCCGGAGAACAGCATACTGGAATCGAGACGCCTTTTTCCCAACCCTGTCAGAAGCATTTTGGACAACCGACGCTTACCGACGCCCGAAAACAACATGGAGCGGTCGATTCCTCTCTTATCAAACTCGCCCTGGGCGGCGTCATCCTGTCGTCTGCCGAGTCCGGTCAGCAACATTTTTGTGCTGTACCGTTTTTCATTCATGTTATCGTCATCGTCATATATATAATTATAGGGTATTTTAAGTCGATCGTCTTCAGCTGTGTCAACAGTATTTATATTGCCATCATCCGAGGCATTTTTCTGGCTCTCGGCGCGGTCCATGGCGTCGGCGAGCTCGTTAAATATTGCAGTATGGTCTACGTCTTCGTCTTCGTCTTCGTCGTGGGGTCGTTTTCCAAGACCAGCCAGAAGCATTTGGGAGTCCATCACTCTCTTAGGGTCAGACCTTTTGCCCATTCCCGTGAAAAGCATGTTTCGGTCAAAACCGCGTTTCCCGACCCCAGAGAAAAGCATGCTTCTGTCCATACCGCGTTTGTTGAAATCCCGTTTACCCATTCCGGAGAACAGCATTGCCCGGTCTATGCCTCTCTTTTTGGCGGTGATCTTCTGTTTTGAACCGTCGACTACTTGGTCTTCAGATAACACCGAATCATCTGCCGCGCGTTTTGAGACATCTTTTTCTAACGATGGGACGACGGCAGTGCTGCGACGACGGCGTTTCTTCCCCAGTCCGCCGAACCTCAGTGCGTTGTCCAAATCCCGTTCTTGTAGGTCATAATCTTGGATATCGTCTTCTGAAAAGTTTGGATTCAAATCGAATTCGTCTTCTTCGGGCATCAAAGCGTAGGGGTGGCTGTTGAGGAGAGCGCTTCTTTTGCCTATACCCATGAGAATCATCTTCGGGTCCTGACGGCGTTCTATCCCGGCGGCAACGCCATCATCTAGATTCGACAACAGAAAGTCATGATCAGCGCGCTTGCCAAGTCCCTGAATTAGCATGGCACGGTCCATGGGCCGTTTCCCAATCCCAGTAAAGAGCATGTTTCGGTCCATTCTTTTACCAATCCCAGCCAGCAACATGCCCCTACTCATACGTCTTTTCGAAAATGTGTAAGGATTTGGTCCGAAGTCTGTTACATACAAACCGTTTCTTTTCCCAAGCCCCTGGAAGAGCACATGCTTGTCGAGACCGTTTCGTTTCCCAAGTCCCATCAAAAGCATGTTTCTGTCCATGCGTTTTTCTGCGAACGCTTGCTGCCCGTCTGCCCCATTGGTTCCCCGAATAAGTAACTCTGGGCTCACGTAGTCAGCTGCCGTTAACCCTGGCACGGCACATAGAGTAACTATGAGTCTAAAAAGTGGTGACCAACTCGTTCTTTGTTCCATGTTCTGTAATAAATAAAAAAGAATGGAACATAAACTAAAATATAGACCGCTCTCTCGCTCGCTTTCGCTCTCTTGAAGTCTCTAGCAAAATGAATGAAAAATCTCGGAGTGTTCACTCTATATGACAGGAACAGAAGCACGTGGGAACATGGCAACCGTCCATCTCATTAGCGCTCGATCTAGCATTCGCTGATTTACATTTTCCAGGATATTGGTCGCTGACGTACGCCCAGTAGGCGACAAGCAGATAGGGTGATTTTAATTCATATTATTTTCGCGCTTTCTCTACATGTACATGTCTTTGCTATTGACTTCTTCGTTCATATTTTTAAGTGATAGCTATCGTTGTTAACCAAAAAAAAAAAAAAAAAAAAAAAAATAGAAACGAAAAAATGTTAATATATAATATTAACAATACAGCAGTTAACTTAATGGACTCGCATTTATACGTATATACGAATTATAGTGAACTGGTGGTACAATTTAGTCATCAGTTATGCACATATTACAAACGGCAATAATCATTGCTATACACCTTGGTAGACGCTATACGAACTGTAAATGAAAAACAAGATATGTTGGTTTTTCATAAAGCAATCAGCGCCTATAATACCCATAGAGAACATAACGTTGTTAATAGAGCTCTAATGAAAAAATGTATCTTCTGGCGTCCTCGGACGCAGAATTAATTTTTGATACACAATATTAATAACTCTAAGGCACCTGCCGGCTTGATGGAGTGGTAGCAACAATATAACAATGTGAGAAAATAAGGCTTTGTTCAGTAAGTTAGACTAAAGTACTCATTGACATTGCATATAAAACAATTAGTAGGCAGCGATGTAAAGAAGACCGCAACGTTTTAAATAACTCATCCCCCTAGAAATGGAAAAATTTGAGCACCAGGAACAGGATATGTTTCTAGGCGTTTTTAATCAAGAAAGGTTATCAAATTAGTTGTCTTTATAGACAGGGGATGTAATTATAAAATGTATCCAAAGGCAAAACGCTTTACCTTGATTTAATTTCTTAAGTGATCAAATTTTCTTTCGGTTCTAAAAAGCATGCTTCCTGTTATGCAAAACTATGACCAGACTCTTTGAACGAAAAATGAACTTCTTCATTATGATTCATTTTATACAAACAATTGTAAGGTTTAGAAGGCAACATTTTATAGCGCGCCAAGCAAACATAGATAAGTATTTACAACTTTGACAGCCTAGCAATCTGTAAGTGTATCAATTCTGCGGTGAAAAAAGTTAATTGAACGTTCACTCAGAATCAGTCAGGTTAAATTGTTCGCAATAAATCAAACAGAACAAGAGGCTCCATACATGACTTTTCAGGACAACGAAAGCTTTGGTCTTGGAAGTCTTTGTCGAATTCCATTGATATACATCGGGAAAAAACAACAAAATGTACACATTAAAACAGTGTCGGTTAATTTAAGCTGAACCATTTACGGGGAGAAGAGAGTCCTGTGCGTTATCGATCTCGTACATGTTTGATTAATGTTTCCCGGGCCCACAGCCATTGTCCTCCGCTCTCCTGTACATTAAGAAGAATATCAAAAGGTAGTCAATTACCATGATGAAATCCTTCTGTGGAAAATGCATATTCATCCTACGATAGGTGTGATTACTACCTTATAAGTAGGCATTTCATTAAGAAAAAAGGATCCTGAATAGCACTTCAAGGCGTGCACGACTTGGGCGGATTACTCGCCTCGTGGCCAAACGCTCGTTGGCGTGGGCGGATGAACGTAGGAAGTGAGAAAACACGGTGAAGACTTCAACAGTTATCAAGACATGCTCAAGTTGTAAAATGAGATTGGTTCAAGACTAAATTGCGCCATCAGACGACCAAATAAAACCTGGATGAAATATTAAATGCTGTTTTTTCCCCGGTGAGTCTTGGTACATGTATGACGTCTTTTTTTCACAGGCATATATCGTATGGTGGGTGGAGACGTGACCATGCTGCTCAAACTGTCTATATTCTTTGTAGACTTATAAAAAAAGATAATGTTTTCAAAGATGAAAATTTTCATGATATTTGCTGTACACGATTAGGAAAAAAGGACGCCAAAAATTGAGGTTTTAGTAAAGAACAGTTAGTAAAGAACAGCAAAGTCGGGCACCGCGAAAAGGTCTTCTTTTAATGATATCTATTATTCTATTGCTGAAGTATCGGCGTATTTTACGACCAATATATAAAGATTTAATTATTGGTAGAAATGATGACTTTTGACAATAGTTGACAAATTCCCCACGGCAATTTGAGAGCAAAACACCTGGAAACTATTCGACAAACATCTTAAGACTCATTATTTTGATTGTGATTAAGTTTCCATGGGTTTTCAGCGCAATACTCGATGACACCCCCTCCAATAAATAATTAAATAAATAAATAAATAAATAAATAAATACTGTAAATAGATAAACAAGTGGAAAAATTTATGGAGAAAACAGATGCTATCAGGACTATTGGGCAGGTGGCATGTCCTTTTTAAATTCCTTTCGTATGACTTCAAATGTTTTCATATTTATTCGTCTCCTTCTTTGAAAAATCTCTCCCTTTCCCTTCCTTTAGGCTTAATTAAGACCACAGCGTCACCTTATTTCATTATCAACACACCTTGGCATCCTCATCCTCAGGGGTCAGCAATTTTCGCGTAGATTGATGAATTTCCACAAAGATCTTTCATGTTAATTTTCTTCCTTAACATTCCACTTAGAATATATCAAAGCTATTCGTGAAAATATGATGGTATTGGATGCTGTAATACATATTAACGAAACCTTAAAGTTACTTTCTCGGTCGCTTGAAACGGAAACGGCAAAAGTTCACATACAATGTGCATCAAATTAATTTTCTCGGATTCCGCAATTTTCTGGGAGTGAGTTGGTCTTGAACCTTTGACAGTCCACACGGCTATCTTAATTTTATTCAAGACATCCCACTGCTTACGGCTTTCATTGCCACGCAAGTAGCGGATGGGTCAGCATTTCCTTTATCACTCATGTAATAAAGCTAACACCTCGATTCTCAAAGGTTATCAGCTGTCGACAAATAACGACTTTAGCTTCATCGAGTTCATGACTGTGTGCCAAATTTTCCTTTAATGTAAAAACTGATTCCAGCCAGCCGAATTATTGCACCATATGAATGATTAGAAGTTTATCAACTCCCTTTAATTCACTGAGTGTCAAAATCGGTAGAGTGGCCTGTGTTAGCTACATCAGTCAAATGCCAAAGGTGTTTTTATCTAGTTTAACTAAATTGGATTTGGTGGAAAAAATCCCGGTGACTATCACAAATTTGCAGCCTGCTCCTATGGGGAGAGATACAAAGGCTAATTTAGATAGGATACGTGTATGGCTAAGTAACTTGAAGTGTTTTACAGCACTGGCGTATTATGCTCACGGCTCCAATTCTCCCCGCGCAACGTCGCGTGAGCCAGGTTTTAGGCAATAATGGGATATAAATCAAAAGAAATGATTGTTGATGGTGACTGAGATTTCTTCGCTCGCAAGTTAATCAGATGACACGTTGTCATCAATTAACTACATAGTACACAGATACGTAAAGCGATAACTTGGCTGCGATAAGTGTTATTAAATTGTTGCTTTGTATCGGACTTGCAGAAGTCTCAATAATAAATATAATAACTGTCATGATACCGTACAATTTTATCGGAGAGAACATACAAGCTGTATATCATTGATTTTTCCCTTATAAAAACTACGTAAAACGGGGTTACACAGAAGCATATTTACATCTACAAAAACTGATTCGTCAAAAGATTAATTAGAAAAAAATAAGAGATATGTATTCACGGCTCACCACCCAATATTAAGAAATCATGTAATATGCAACTAACAGTAAAAAGCATTCAAAGAGCGTACACCTCCGCCAAGGTAGCTTATTTCTCATTATTACCAATTATCTATTAAATAGCTTCCAAATTAATTAACCCATTTATTTAACTGAATTAATTATTAATTTTACTTATAAAAAAAAGCTAAATTCGTATAACTTTTAAAATTAGTTAATTACCTCATTAATTAATTAATCAATCCTCACCAAATCTGAGCTGTCCCGAAAATTTCATTCAAATCCCTAAATAACGTTTTGCATAATGTTGCTAACAGATCACGTTATTTATCAATGTATCACCAAAATCCTACCGTTTGTTACCAAGTCCCTCCTCGACAGTTTCAAAAAAATTTAATGAATAAATAAATAAATCCATCAAAAATCTTTGGATTCCGTTGCTAACAGACAGACAAATAGTTGACTAATATTTAACAATAATCTGAATCAATGAATCGCCATTATCATTGTTTCTTACTTGTCCAATCCTTTTTTTATAATGTTGCTATAACCTCATTTCTAGGCATCTGATTGCAAGGTTTGATTGGTCGATAAACGATCAGAAAAGTGACACTGTATTCGTGCCTCTACTTTGAGAGGGCCCATTATGGAAACGAAAACACACTGTAAAAATAAATTATAGCGAAAGAGTGATGTACCAGTAGTTCTAATTACTTAATATGATTAAAATTAAAATTTGACAGAAATCAAGAAGGCATACTATCGGTTTTGATCTTCATCCGTCAGTCATTTGTTGATTACTGCGAAGTAAATTCATAATTTACGGGCCTATCTTGACAAATACATGTATGCCAAATACATGTATCAGGACTGCCAAATATTTAGGTTTCACATTTTTACTTTTCTTGGCAATTAATCAGTCGAAAAGCGATATGCGCGGCAACACGCGGCAACAGGTGCTGTTAAACAAGGTTTAGTTTATTTGTTTGATGATACCCCATGTATTTTTTCATTCTACAGGTTACACATAGCAGTAATAACTAACTGCGTTCCTCCAATTTCCAGTGGAGTGAACGCCCAGTGTCCGCCGCCTGCTCCTGATGCTGTGTCATTAACAGCTGCAATAACTGTGTATTACTTCACCGCAACGCATCTTGCAACCACAG